CAGTACATATATTTTATTCAGGGTAATATGAGGCTACATAAAAGGTCCAGATAAAACATAGCTAGAAAAGCCCTTGCTATTTAAAACTATATACATTTTTTTAATGTCTGCAGTGTTTAACCACTGTTCAGACTAATCCCAGCCACTTATCTTAATCAGCAATCTGTTTGAGTCTCTTTCAAAAAAAAAGTTTGTCCTCTGAAGAAGAAAAGCTATTAGACAGATTGATGTGTGTATAAAAAGAAAAAGCAAGAAGACATAAACCCTATATTAAAATGAAAGTGGAAACTCACCTGGCAGAAAGAAAATTTTTAACAGGGAGCAACTCAAGGGACTGTGAAGTGCATTTGAAACTAGACTGGAATCATTGCCCATTCATGCTTTGGTCTTCTGCTATTTTGTTTTTATGTAGTAGGTACATTTCACTGTGTTTCCCCTTATCCTAGGGTCCTGCCTGTGCTATCTATACCTTCTGATGCTGTTCTGTATACATTCTAGGGAAGGTTGAACAAAACAGAGCTGTGAGAGAGTCTATGTATGGCTGACCTTTTTCTTGAATCAAGGGTCATATGCTTGCAATCTCCAAAGAGGCCATCAAGATGGAGTTGGACACAGCTTCCTGTCCTCTCCTGGAAGGAAGGGGGGCTGAGTTTTTGCTTCTGTCCCCAACAGGACAGAAACTATTCTACTGCTGTATATCCAATTTTTCTGGTGTCTGTTAAATGCAAAATCCCTGGGGCCAGAAGCAGAGGCATAACTAGCAAGGACTGCACATTGGAGAAAGCCCTGTCAGAGCACAGGTGTAAGGTGAGGGCACCAAGTGGAAGGAGAAGAAGGAACTCTTACTTGTCCTTGGGACTCGCAGTGCCCAGTTGCTGCCACCTGACACCTGACAGTCTGCCCACCCTGACTGTTACTGTTGCTGTTACAGCAGTATTGCAGAGCTGCTGCACCCTGTGACTGCTGCTGTTACACAGCATGAACTCCCTAGGGAGCACCAATCTGGTACCTCCTCTAAGTCAGTACCCAAACCTGGCGCCCTGTTTGCATACATCTCATTACACAACTGCCCAGGAATTAGGCCCCCCTCTCCTTTAGGGTAGTAGTCTAGGTTCAACAAAAGGGGTAGACAGTGCTTTTAGCCCTGCCAGCCAGTGGCCCAGCATTTTCCAGGGAAGTGAGAGATGCACACACTCGGACTGTGCTTATCTGGGGCCTACAACCTGGATCTCCTGCTTCCTAGGCAAGTGACCTGACCATAGGTCACTGAGCCAAGAGGGAGGATGGACCATTTCCTTCTTAATTTTTTTCAGCTTACATAGATTCCCATAGCTTCCTAGGAAGGAGTTGGATCTAAAATCCATGTGAGTGAATTTAATAATGTATAAAAATTACATTATTATAAATGACACACTAAAGTTAGCTATGCAGGAGCTACTTACCTACCTAACATTGGAGCTGGTTTTGAGCTATGGAGTCAACTTGAGACCACTGCTAACAACAAGGCTGTATTAACTCTTTAGTGGGTCCTAGGCAAACAAACTTGCCTGTACTTAATACTATATGTTGATATTATTTTGTTTCACTCAATAGTTATAATATGTAAAATAAGCACAACTGGGCCCCTTCTTCACTTAGTTTGCCTATGTGTTAACCCACCCCTGGCTGACAGCCCCTCATAAACATTTCAGAGAGCCATTTCCTAAGAAATTATGAATCCTAAAATTGTCAAGTTTTCTTCCTAACTCCCTGCCATGCTCACTGGTTTTCAAGTACCCTTTTCTCTTTACTGTGGTCTAATGTCAAAAATCAATAGCATGTGGCTCTTTCTATTCTCCTAGTCACCAGACAAATTTTGGGCTTAAATCTCCTCTGCCTGGGGTCTTAGCACCTGTGCAGAGTTAGAGCAAAGTGAGTAGGAAAAAGCCATCCCATCTGAATTCTTCAATCTACTAGAGTTTTACAATCACATTTATTGTCAGTTCATTCCTAAATTAACATTTCTTAATTCCTTAAAGAATAGCATGGAATAGCATTCCTTAAAGAATAGCAAGGAATAGCATTCCTTAAAGAATGGCAATAGTGGATAGGGCACCGGAATGGGACCTGTGAGTTCCCTTTGGTATCCAGGGAGTTCTTCCATTGACTTGAGCGAGTCCAGCATTTCACCAGCTGGGCTCCATCCACAGCTCTGCCACAGGTGTGCTGTGTAACCCTGTACTAGTCGTTTTTTCCCCTCTGTTCCTCTCACACCCTCTGTTACTTCTGTCTGTTTAGATTGTACATTCTTTAGAGCAGAGGCATTTTGTGCCATATGCTTGTGCAAAAACACATAAGGGAAATTCAAGGCCAGAGAGTGGATGAATAGCTACAGATTATCTTTCCTTCCTGATCAGCCACTGCCTTCCTTCGATGGGCTTTCCGGGATTTTTTTTTTGTCCACATCATGGGAGTAATGAATGATGAACAGGTTGATCTTGATAACAGGTTTTGATCACAATTAGGGGTGCTGCCTATGCTGATAGTTTACCTGAAGAGGTAAAGCCAGTGGTGAAGACTTAGGGAATTTGATCATGACACTAAGTATATTAAAGTACAGATGGGTTGCAAACTGGCTGGAGGGCCGCACCCAGAGAGTGGTGGTAGATGGGTCATTTTTGACCTGGAGGGATGTGGGCAGTGGGGTTCCCCAGGGCTCAATCCTCACACCTGCATCATCATCAGCAACTTCAACATCATCATCAGCGACTTGGACAAGGGGGTGAAAAGCACCTTGTTCAAATTCATGGATGACACTAAGATGTGGGGAGAAGTGAGCACGCTAGAAGGGAGCGACAGGCTACAACTAGATCTGGACAGGTTACAGGGGTGGGTGGATGAGAATAGGATGGGATTCAATATGGACAAGTGCAAGGTACTGCACCTGGGGAGGAAGAACCAGCATCTTACCTACAGGCTAGGAAACTCCCTTCTTGCCAGCAGAGAGCCAGAAAAGGATCTTGGAGTCATTATTGATTCCAAGATGAACATGGGCCGCCAATGTGGGGACATGGTCAGGAAGGCTAACCGCACCTTGTCGTGCATCCACAGATGCATCACGAGCAGGTCCAAGGAGGTGATCCTCCCCCACTATGTGACACTGGTCAGGCCACAGTTGGAGTATTGTGTCCAGTTCTGGGTGCCACACTTCAGGAGGGATGTGGACAACATGAAGAGGGTCCAGAGGAGGGCCACTCGCATGATCAGGGGGCAGCAGGGCAGGCCCTACAAGGAGAGGCTAAGGGACCTGAACCTGTTCAGCCTACAAGAGAAGGCTGACAGGAGATCTGGTGGCTTTCTACCAACTGGCCAAGGGGGACCAACAGGCAATGGGAGAGTCCCTGTTCCCCTGAGCACTACCAGGAGTAACAAGGAATAATGGTCATAAGTTGACGGAGAGTAGATTCAGGCTAGATATCAGGAGGCGCTACTTCACAGTCAGGGTGGCCAGGAGCTAGAACCAACTTCCTAGGGAAGCGGTGCTCGCTCCTACCCTGGGGGTCTTGAAGAGGAGGCTAGATAATCACCTAGCCCGGGGTTGTTTGACCCGAGTCCTCTTTCCTGCCCATGGCAGGGGCTCAGACTTGATGATCTGATTAGGTCCCTTCCGACCCTACCAACTATGAAACTATAAAGAACAAAGAAAATAAACACACCCACGTAGATGTAAGGAATGTTATTGTTAGCAGATCAGAGGGGATCATTGATCCATGTTAACAGAGTTATGATTATTTACCTGAATTGAATACCTGATTTAAAATTGCAATATTGTGTCCATTCCTTCTGTTATTTTTCAGATGGTATCCTTAGTCCAAACCTAGAAAGCAGCATAGACCCAAAGAATGATTTTATGTTTCATATGAATCTCTTGATTTCTTTGATTCACTGTTTTCTTGGGTACTTTCTCAGGAGTATAATGTCACCTTTCTTTTCTCAGAGGAAACTGTATCTAGGTAAATATCAGTAACCTATTCTGAAATAACCAACCTCAGGGAAAAGGTCAAGTTGCAAGTGTTCTGTGCAGGAATCAAAGCAAGCTGAATATAAGCCATTTGAATAGCACTTCAGTGACTCCTGTTCAGGGGGAGAGCTGAGCCATGGAAAATGATACAGCCTCACTGAAGTCTGCAGGTAGATAGATCTACAGGAGAAACTCTTAATTTTCTTCTGTGACAGTTTGTAAATATCTGGGCCCTGCTTATAGAAGGACCCAGATTTCTTGTCCCAGGAGCACAGTCTCTAAGGGGACATGACAAGTACAGTGCAGGTACCAGCAGTCATGGACTGGTAACCACCAAAGGTCACTTTGTCTTCTGTACATGGAAAGGAAGGGAAGAGATATTCCTTCTAAATTACATTTGACAGAAACCTGTTCCTATCTGAGTAACTAAAACTGAACCCCCTTCTCTCTCTTCTCTCCCCCAGCAATGTATTCCCGTAGAATAAACCCACTACAAGATTTCCTTAGGTTTTCTGTCATATCTTATTCATTACATTGACAGAGATCTCGTGGCTCTGCATTATGCAGAGCCAGAAAGAAAATAGTGTTCATGCCATTTCCCCAAATGATTCAGTCAAAGCTTTCCAGATTGAATGGTAAATGTTTCTCATGACCTGCGAGAGGTGAGCTCTCCTTGAGTTCTTTGAAATACTTTTGACTTCCTGTCAGTACTTATTCTCTGCTGTTCTGTCTTGCTAGTCACAACATCTCATGCTGGCAGAATGTGATGCATTGCATTTCAATGATGCTTTAAGTAGTAATGTGACATTTTGACTATAGCCATCTGAGGGAACTCTGATGAGCACCACTGGAGTGTGAGCTAATGTTACAATTCCCACTTGTTTAAAAGGAGCTGTTAATTAGACAACAAGAAGGATTTCCACAAAAACAAGTGAAAACACATACAGAGGAAGCTGCACAAATGCTGAAATTAATCTTCTACATGGTCACTTCTTGGCAGGTTGCATACTGGAGAGATATGGAGCAGGAAGAAGCAGCAGAAAAAGTCAAAACTGAGGGAAATGAATCATCCATCATTCTGACGGGATTAGAAGGAAACACATTATACCACCTAACAGTCAGGGCCTATAATGCTGCTGGATATGGACCACCTAGCACAACTGTGCATGCTGCCACCAAGAAATCCCGTAAGTGACCCGGACTTCTTTCTCAGTGGGGAAAAAAATCTTGGCCTTTCTGGCTTTCCCTATACTGCATATATAATAAGCAGAGCTAACATGTAGCTTTGATTCGCGGTTTAAATCGGAATCCTAAAACTGACATGACAAATTTGATATTCACAACAAACAAAGGTTCCCTTCCTGGAAAACAAGGCTAAGCATTTTTGATACTGGAGAGAGATGAAAGGATTCGGGTTCATAAGCTTTGTAGATTATCTAATAAAATGACACTCCTGGAGCAAAAACCACCTTATCAGCCTCTGGTTAGAGAAGAGATCATGCCTATGCAGATAAACATAAATATAATAAAAAAACAAAATGCTTACCAGAATAAAAAAGTGCATTTAAGTGCATAATGTTATTTTCTTCTTCTTTTGTTCAGCTCCCAGCCAACCACCAAGCAATATTATGTGGATGCAAGATGGCTCTCATGTGTCTCTGGGATGGGAGCCAGTCAGACCTCTAGCAAATGAATCTGATGTAATGGGGTATAAGGTTAGTCTTCTCTCTTTTTCATCCACCTTCCCATGTTCCAAACTATCAAACCATCCTCTCTTTTTCGTCCTTCTTTTCTTTGCTTTATTACTTCCTTATGTCACCAAAGTATTCTGTACAGATTTTCTACAGTTATTCCCAGCTAGAACATAAAGAATAACACAAAAAGAGTGAAAAAAATTAAATATTCCAAAACTTTTCTCTGTTGTGCTCATTAACTGCTGATTATAAACTGAATGAGCACCATCTGAGGTGATTACTCTTGTCATGTCTGGCCCAAAAGTGGCTATTAAAGACCAGACTGCAGTGAAATCCATGCTAACACTTCAATTTAACTGTGTTTACAGTAGGATTTAGGGAAATGCAGAAGGATGAGGCATCTTAAATACCATTAAAATTAATTTTTTTGTAGAGCAGAAGTACAAATACTAAGATTTGTTATGATCATGTTGGTGGTGTTCAGCAATCTGTGACTGCAACATCTGGCATTTTAAGTTTTTGAAGTTTTAAAGAGTGAAATCTAAACTGAATCTTAAGTAACTTATGACATAAATGGGAAAAAATATAGGAATCCAGGGCTGCTTTTAAATCATAACAAAATTATTTATGTATCTATGTATCTATATATCTATCTATCAACCGATCAATCAATAGATAGATCTATATACAGTATATATATAGTGTATGTATATATGTATTTATGTATATATACATATATGTGTATGTACACACACACACACTACCTGGTAGTTATTGTATAACAGGAAATATCATCAGGAAAGTGTAAAAAGGTTTGGATAAAATCAAAATTGCCTTAACCTTTAACAAAATGTTTGAGGTTCAGAAAATGTTCAGATAACTTCCTTACCGTTTCACACTTCTCTGACCTTTTCAGTTTTGCCTGGGAATACAAGTCCTTGGACTGACATACTGCAAGGACAGCTACATATGCACCTGCTGCATTTTTCACCTACCCAAAATGAAAGTCTAGTGTTTTCATAAGAGGGGCCAAATCCCCAGTCAGTACCATTTGGCTTAGTGAGCTGGTTACTCTCACCACATGAGCTTCTATTCCAAAGTATCTTCCTCCTATTTAAATCTGGGTATTCACCAGCGCATGAATTTTTGGATGGAATATGAATGAGAACAAACTTTAAAGGGGCCATGGGGCTAAAAATAGTCTGGTACTGGGGAGTTAGGAAAAAAACACCCTCAGGGCTGAGGTCAGCAGCTGGGCTTTCACAGCCTTGGGGCTACTCTGGGAACATGTACAGAAGTTCAGTTAGATTGTTCTAACTATACCCTATCTAACTTAGTGCATGTTCATGGTACTGTTAAATTAGATTGGGTTGGCCCTTTCTGACCAATATAACCTCCCTGAAACTTTTGTATAGTTCTCATTTAGATTGACCTAACTTAAGTGAACTAAGTGAACTAGATCAGATGGCCATTTTAATATGATTCAACATGTCCCTAACCTCCACAAGTGTCTATCCATACTTTTAGAGATAAAAAAGGGAGGTGGGGGACACAGAGAGTCTCTACCTAAAGTTAAAAGGCCAGATCTTATACCCCTTACTTAAGTCATTTCTCAAGCAAAACATTTTTTGCTATTATTGGCAGTTTTGCCTGAGTAAAGAGTCCAGCATTTGGCCTAAAATTTTAATGATGGTTTTAAAGTGCCTTTGTAATTTACAGGTATTGTTTAGACAAGAAGGTCAAAGCAACAGTCAGGTCATTGAAACACAGAAAACCTCTGCAGTGGTTCTTCTTCCTGATGTTGGCGTCTATATCATAGAGGTTTGTGCTGTCAGTGAAGGAGGGGACGGGACAGTCAGCTCCCAAATCAGGGTGCCATCTTTTTCAGGTAGGTCACTCATATTTTGTATACAGAATGTTATGGTTTTTAAAATTACATCATCATTCTTACTAAGCAGGTGCTGCCTAAACTAGCCAAAAGGAAGTACTCACAAGAAATCCACCCTGGAAACTCCTAATTCTTGGAGCAGGAAGGGACATGTTAGATTGGGAATCACAGCCTGAAACTCTTTCCTGGAACTAGGCATTTAAATTACTCCTTCAAAAGCAGAGCTCTTTTTTTGAAAAGAAGAAAAGGAAAAAAATCATTACTGTGGGATCACTGCCCTTTTATCCAGTATTTCAGTGGCTTCAGCAGTTACCCAAGATCCCTCCTCCTCTGCTTGAGGGGATTCCCAACCACATCCACCTGTAGTGTGTCCCAACACCCAAGCTACAGGCTAAGCAGGGTAGGTAGGGACACATACCACCCCTCATACTGAAGTGGTACCACTAAGGCAAAAATAATTCAGATTTTCTTTATATAGAGAAAGAGAGCAAAAAGACGCATGATTTACCAGGGGAGAGAGAAACATAGGTTCTGATACCTGTTCAAAGGATTTGTTTGCACTTATCCAATGGCTTTTCAACCTTAAATTTATCAGGCGCCCTTAGGACAGGACCTAGATTTCAGATTCCTCTGTACCCACTCAGATGAGTGATATAATCATGCTTTCAAACTAAAGAGGGCATAAAATTCATGGCTTCCACATCCTGGGTGAGTGCTCTAAGCACCGAATAATTGAACAAAACACCCCTGTGGGATTTTATGCAAACTTCATTCATGTAAATGCGTGCTAAATAGCTAATGACAGAACACATCTAATGGATCATGCTTTGCAGGGGATGTGGGTATAGAAATGACCACAACTGGAGATACCCATTGGGCTTAGATAGGCACTGTTCAGCCCTGCCAAAAGGGCATAAGTTCTGGACATTTGCAGTAGATACTCTGGCTTTTAATTGCAGTTTTTTGTTTGTATTAAGCCATATGTTCTTTGGTATTTGTTTTTTAACTGCAGTTTTTAAGGATTGCACCATTGGCTTTCGGCACCTAAGTCACACCTTGTAAATTTGGGACTTAGTCTTCAGGAGTAGGCATCTCTCAATGGACTCAAGGCACCCTCCATAATTTTTGTGACTTGAGTGGCACCCAATTTCAAAAACAAATTAATATATGACAGTGCTTACCTCCTTGCACAGAGGTCAAGCAATGCAAGTGGGGAATCATCCAGGAAGAGACAAACCTGAGCCTGTGATTATCTCCTTATCTCCTCACAACTCACAGCACCTTTCAAAGGATATGGCAGCAGCCCTCTGGTACCTCAGCACCCCCACTAAGAATCACTGGTCTGTAGATACGATGTCCCAAATTTATTTAACTGTAGTATTCACGTATAAATTAACCTGTCAAATGGTATGTGAGGGAAAGTTCATTTGATCTGAGCACTGCTTGTTGAAAAGATTATAAAAATGTGAATGCACTTAGACAACCTGGATCCACCCTCTCTGTGCCACTAATCAATAGCTCATCTGACTTCCTGGAGTTCAACTCATTCACTCATCGGCTGCATCCACATGAGCATGGGTGTTTCATAGATTCATAGATTGTTCAGGGCTGGAAGGGACTTTGCAAATCATTGGGTCCAGCCCCGCCACTCCAGGCAGGAAGACAACTGGAGTTAGGTGACCCCAGTGAGGTGACTGTCTAGTCTCCTCTTGAAAACCTCCAGGGTAGGTGACTGCACCACCTATGGAGGGAATTTATTCCACAGTCTGGACACCCTGACTGTAAAGGAGTTTTTCCTGGTATTAAGCCTGAAGCAGCCTTCCAAGAGGTTATATACATTGATCCTGGTCTTCCCCGGGGGTGCCATAGTGAACAGTTGTTCACTAAGCTCCTGATGCATTGCTTTCCTGGGGAGAATTAGTGGTGACACACCTTGTGCTGCTGCTAGTCGGCCCTGGGAACGCCTGTGCCACGCACCCTCCGGTGCGTGGCAGGTTACCCCAGGTTGGATAGGGGAGGTTGAGGCCAATGCTGAGCTGGCCCCAGCAGCCTTACCTGGGATTCTGGGGGCCTCCCAGGGCTTCAGCAGTGGTGATCCTGTGCTTGGAGCCTGCCCGGCAGCCAGAGTGTGTCTCCAGCCAGCCAAGCTCTGCCTCTGCATGTCCCACTCTGCTTCTTTTTTTTTTTTTGCACAGGTTTTTTTGACCCCTGGATACCCTTGCAGTGTGAAGAACAGTTGAACGCGCAGTATGTGGCGCCACAGACATGTCTGCAGTGCCACATACTACACGGCTGTGCTCGTCTGGATGTGGCCATCAGGAAGTTTGATTGAATACTTTTGATCCATATTCCTTCTAGTTTATGAACTAATGCCACCTTTTTCAGGGAAGAAGTCCTCTTCTTTCTTCAATAGTCCAACCAACACTTAAAAAATCCACCCTGGAAACATTGCCTCTAGCTAACTATCAACCAGTGCTAAATCTCCCATTCCTAAGCAAGCTCACAGAGGACCTAGTCAAAGGCCAACTACAAGTCCATCTAAGAAGCTGATAGTCTAGCACAATTTAGATTCAGGTCAAAACTGGATGATCTCCTGTTCATAAGCAGACATTCATTTTTATCCTCTTGGACCTCTCAGTAGTATCTGATACTGTCAACAATATGGATACTATAGCCACAGCTGAGTGAGATAGTGGGGATCCAAGTTAATGGCCTAAAATGGTTTGAGTTTATCTGGAGAGATGAATCTAAAAATTAGTGACAAAAAAATTATACTTTCAATACTTGGCCCTTAAGGGTGCCTGTAGATGTGCTGCAAGGCTGCTCTGACATGCTGTAATTAGTAGGGCTGTGCAAAGCTTCAGTCGCTGATTTGATTCAGAGGAGATTCAGCACATTTCGGCAGCCGAATCCCCAAATCTGAATCGAATCAGGAGACCCATTAACCTCTCCAAATCTAATCAGAAGCCTCTGAATTGATTCAGAGATTTTCAGAGATATTCGATGATTTGGCCATAGACATAGCTTTATATGTTTTTTCTACATATCTCAAGGTATCAGGCACAGCTTGTGAACACTGAGATGATGAGGCAGATGGAGCATCCCATGGGAGCACAGTGGTGGGGGTACTTCTGGCCCACTTCCAGGTCCATCATTGAACATGCGAACATGCTAGGGGGCCCTACGCTCCTGTGGGATGCTCCATCCACCCCACCATCTCAGCATTCATGAGCCGCACCTGGTATCTCGAGGTGTGTAGAAAAAACATATAATGCTGTGTCTATGGCCGAATTGCTGATTCTCTAAATCACAATCAAACCTCCAGTTTCAGATTCAACATAATCAAATCGGGACAGTGATCTGAATCAGCGAACTGAATCATTATCAGGGCCGAACAGGCCAAATCCAAATCAAATACTGCCCGTGTCGCACACCCCTAGTAATTAGAGCATGTCGGAGCAGACTCAATTAAGTCTGCTGGAATGTGGTAGTTACTGTGCTCTAGTCAGCTTCCACATCTCATATATCAGTGTCCCTGAGCTTCAAAATGGTGGTGGGGGCCCTTTAACTAAAGCTCATTGAACGAGCTTTAATTCAAGTGCCCCCACCACCATTTTGAATCATGTGGATGCTGATACACAATACACTGCAGTGCTTTAATTAGAGTGGCTCTTGAAGCTGCTCTAATTAAAGTACCCCCTGTACCCCAGGAGCATGTGTAAAAGTACCCTCTGTTCTCAGGTCCCACATGATCAATAATTTCTAGTGTCCTCTTTCAACATCTACACGGTGCCAGGATGATAAAATATGGACTCAAGTACCAGCAACATGTTTATGACACACATCCATCTTCCCTTTACCAAACAGAATCACATCACTAGCATTAAAATGATCTAATGTTTGGATGAAATCAGGTCATGAACAAAGAACAACTGTTTGAAACTGAACTCAAGGAGAAAAGCAGTGATGCTTGTGGACAGAGAAAAACTTTTAGAGGAGTTGGTAGCCAGAGTGCAATTTGCTTTTGTTGAAGGTAGACATGCACACCTGGTCAGTTAATTCAATCCATCATTTATGAGTATTCATGTACTCTTTACTGACTAGGTTGTCCTATAGCAGTATCACCAAATCCATCCCCACGCCTCCCCCCTCCACACGAATAGTGACCTGGCCTTAATTATTCATGCCTTCATTAGTTTTCAACTAGACTGCAACAATGCAATATACCTGCATATGTAGCTTTCATTATTTAGGAAACTCCAACTAATATAAATCCAACTTCTCAGAAACACAGGCAACCGTAAGTACAGCAGAATTCCCCTCTGGTCCCTACACTGGTTTCTATAGATATTTTACTCAAATTTAAGTTCTTAATACCTAGCTTAAAGTTATTTGATGGCTCTTGTCCAAGATATATGCATAAGGCTCCATGAAGAAGTACATACTTGACAATATTATTTCTGTGGCACAAAATGAGCCTTCTACACTAAGGTCAAGCATGACTTTGCTGGACGTGGAGTTCTATAGGGCACCAGCCAAAGACTGTGGGATGAACTCCTACAAGAACTAAGGCTCACAACAGAACCCACTATCTTTTACAACCAGGGGAGGGCCAATTTCTTTGACCATGCCTAATTTAATACAAACATAAAGAAAACACACACACACACATGCACATACATACATACATGTGTATATATATGGTGTGTATATGTATACATATCTCACATTGTTTAAAATCCCAAAGCATTATGCTGCAGATGTATCCCTCTGAGAAAAAAACTGAGAAGAAAAAAATATGACAGATATTAGCTATCTTGCTTAATGCATTTCTAGAAACACACTATAAAAATGCACACTGTGTAAGAACCTGGATAGAACAGAATAGTTGGTAGAGATACTCTTCCTAGATTTTTACAAAAGCTGCATTACATGCCAAAATACCCCATGTTCAAATTATGCTCTCAATTACACTAGTATACATCCAAGCTAACTCTAGT